CCGCGGCGTATGAGAGGAGCCATCCTGTACATGCCATTATTGGCAAAAAATCATGTTGAGTAGATGTTATTTGACTGAAATAATCAAAGATATTGAGTTTAAATATCTTTGGAAATAATAAATTTAGAAAATTTTTATTTTTTTAAATTAATCATAATTTTTCTGCGACAAAAAGATAATTAAACAGTTTCTGTTGCACTTTTGGCACAAAGACATTCAAATTTATGATTTCAGTCTAACAATTATTTAGTCTATATGTGTTTAATCGTGACTTCGATTCCAAATATCTCGAGATCCATTATTCGTAGATTTTTACCAAGATACCTTTTTTACGTAAAAAACGTCGTAAATGTATACCTATTTTTTTAATCAGTAGTTTTATACGGGTACGGACGAAAAGTTATTACTCTTCAAACCTGTTAAAAATATGTAAGTGGCATCCTCTACAAGTAGGAGTCAATTGATATCGAAATCAAATTCAAGTTTCAATGAATGCCAAATGTTTCCGGAATACAGTTTGGACCACCCTGTATATGGTAGTTCTTTTTAGATTTATTGTTTTAGAAAACCAAACTCTTGAAAGACAATTTTTTTAAATTGCCTTTCAATAATACCTATTTCTCCAGATACATTAACTGTTTAAATATACCGTAAAAATAGTTAGTACTACATATTATTTTTCAATACCCATAATAGTTCTTTGCTCTCTATAATATATGAGTGGGTAATTGACTTGTCCTCGGGTTAATTATGAACATTAATTTATCTGACATCTAAAAAAATCAAAACCATATGTTTGAGCACAATGAAATGAAAACACAAAGATAAATATATTTTGCAGATTTAAGTAGGTATTGCTGTTAATAAAAGTAATTATTTTCAAGTGGTTAAATACTCTTTGCAGTTAATCATTATATTATGTCTTATTAACTATAAGTAGTAATATGCTGACAGGTTTATTGCCTTTAAAGCTTCATAACTTATAAGAAATGTTAATGAAAGCAGTAATTGTGATTATGTTGATTAATAAGAATTTTTTTATACTCTTTATAAGCACTATATCGAAATATAAAGATAACTAGAAATAATTAGCAATTCTATACTTTTCACATTGTATTGAGTTATAATAGAGTCTAACAGCTAGCAACGTTTTCGAGAAAGTATTTTAAGATATCTTGCTCTTTGATATATCTTTTACTATGCTCTCTGGAACAGCATGCGGCCCGTCTGGCTGCCGATACCCGTTGCGTTCACTACTGCGCATCGGAAAAAGATATTATATATATTTTTTTAATTTAGTCCTATAAATTCTAGCATTGAATATAAATCGAACATGTCTCCATGGCGCAGATTGATATATACCGAAAATTTATAGCGAACCGATGCTTCAGAGTTAGAATCCGGGTCAGGGCAAAGACTTTTTTATTTTATTTTTGTTTATATTCTGATAGTAAAGTATTAAATAATTCTGGTGATTAAAAAAAACAAATATTTAATACTTTACTATCAGAATATAAACGAAAATAAAATAAAAAAGTCTTTGTCCTGACCCGGATTCGAACTCTGAATCCTCGGTTCGTGGTCGGAAACTCTACGCACTGCGCTATGAAGACATGTTCGATTTATATTCAATACTAGAATTTAAAGGACTAATAAAAATATAGGATCTTCTTTCAATGCGCAATATGGAACGCAACGTTTACCAGCAGCCAGACGGGCTGCATGCTGTTCTAGAGAGCATAGTAAAAGATATATCAAAGAGCCAGACGTTTTAAAATACTTGTTTTTCCGACGTTGCTAGCTCTCGTACTATAAGTAATACATCCTTATCCTTATATTTATTCGGATTTTAGATGAATTATGGTTAAAAAATTATGGTTAATTATGGTTAACGAGTAAGTAAAACGATGATAAAAAAAACTAAATTTTTACCAACCTTCTTGTGTGCGAATTTTCTGATCAAAGCTGTGCCAGGCTAAGAAAATTACCCATCTATCTACTGGGTTCGGAGTCTACCCAATCACATTTATAGATGGGTCTACTAGTCTACTCCATCGTCAGGATGGCATTCGTAGGTTTCCTAGACCTAGCAAGGTTCACGGAGAAAACGCACGTTTAGTAACTTATAGTATTTTACAAGTTTTTTGAAAATGTCAATATTATAAACAAGTACATTTATTATACAGGGTGGGTCTTAAATATGGGCAAATATTCTCAAGGGTGGTATATTGCGACCCCAGGAATACGTCAATAACATTTTTTTCGCAAAAAGAAGATGTTGAAAATTGTGCATTTTCTTTTAAATTTTCCTTTATTTTTGGTTATTTTGGACTTTTTGAAAAACGATAAAGAAAAAGTATGTTTCTTTTATCAAGATCTATCAGAACTAAAATATTTGCACTTATATAAGACTCACCTTGTATAGTAAAGTAGTAATTTTCTATATCTTTTTTTTCTAAATTAGTTTTCATTTTCAGTTTAATTTCAAGCTCAAGTTATTTCTTTAACCAATAATTTTAACACTTAGTTTATATCTGTATAGTTGTAACTAAGAAAATGTTAATTTAATGAGAGGTCTATTAAATAAATTATTTACCATAATTAAGTACTATAATTATCAAGGAATTACAGTTATATATTACATGCCTCTAAATTTAAAAATAAAACAAATTTATTTTATTTATTTTAAAAATTTATATTTACAAAACTTTTTCAAATGAATTTCTGATCCCTTTTTGCATCGTGACATAATTGTGAAGATACCATTGCAAAAAAATCTGCAATTTCGGAGAATTTTTTTTCCAAGAAATTATAAATACAAAAAATGATCTATAGCAAATAAGTATCCTACATGTAAGTGAGTAGGAGGGTTATGTTGTGTAAAAATGAGACATTTTTCAAAATTTTAGTTTTTTTAATTACAACCATTTAAATACCAAAGTATTTCTTCTATAAAAGGCAGTTGCTAATAACGCAACTATTGTAAAAATAAAAATATAGTAAAAGTGCCTCTAAAAAAGCGAGTATGTAGAAAAGTCACGTATTATAATTATTCACGTGTGCAAACGAGTGGAAGTGAAATTGTGAACTCTAAAGTGACATAATTGAGCAGTAAAATGACCAAAATACATGTTATGTTATGTATTATTTAAGGGATTAAGCATCAATCCTGTCTATTTATCGTTTTTGGTTCTTGTCTAGTGGTCCTTGACTCATGACCCAGTTCATATTCTGACATTTTACTTGAACACTGATGACGGAAAATAATATTTGTCAGTTCAAAATTGTACACTTGTGGCCTCTTTTGATGTACTAACTTAAATAACTTAAAAGCAGAAAGATCAGCTTTTGTCAGCTGATTTACTGTTCTGGTATTGTTTGTTATAAGTAATATGTAAATTCTCAAAATGTGTAGCTCAGACGATTGTGGTTTGTGCAATCATTGAAGCCAATGTATAGCAAAGTACACAATAGTGTACCTAGCTTGTGGTAACCCTGTACTGATGTCACCCAGGAAAAGTTTCGTAGTCACTGTAGTTAGTTTCAAAATTTTAAATCTCAAAACGAGACAATGGATTTGTAATTTTAGTTTTTCCATGATTCATCACGTAAAGATTAAACAAATTATGGAGATGATCTGTTAATGATATTGTTAAATGTTCCTAACACAAAACTGACTGAATATAAATTTTCAGTAGTTTTATTTGAATATCACATCGTATCTTGCGGCCGCAGTGGAGGGTCTTTGTTGAGATCTGGTCTTAATACAAAATAAAATACATATTTCATTATTGTATATTGAATGTACGATCCTAACCATAGACTAAGAGTACCAACAAAATACTGAAAACTTTATTCTTTATACACATAATTATCTAATTTAGATGTCATTAATCGCAATTTTGCTTTCTTAATATTGTCTTAAACATCTGTTTCAACCACAAATTAGTATGAATCAACGTTTCGCTGAAAAATAATAAAGCCGCAACTGCAATTCGCTTTTTCTACGGTTTCCTTTGGTTCATTAAGTATAGCCACTTTATAAATACGCAAGTGATATTTTCCATTTGGTTCATTTTTCGTCATAATGTTTCTTGACAATTACGCCTATTTTCAATGGTAGATTAATTTTTAATTTGCAAAAGTTGAGAAAAGCAAACATAAAATATTTATTGCCGGGATAAGAGTATCTAACGCTAGAAATATTGTTTTATTTATTAATGCTTATTCTATTGTAATTCCTTAAACAATAATTATTATAAAATGATTTAAATTTTTTTAAAATATCACATTCAAAATTAATTTAATATTTAATATATAATTTTTTTAAGAAAATATATTTCTATATAGAGTGAGTCTAACTTGCAAATATTTTTAGGGGTAGTATATTTCGACCCGAGAAACACGTCTATGATTTTTTTTCGGGAAAAAATTTTGAAATTTTTTGAAAAAAATTGTATTTTTATTAAATTTAAATTTATAAGAAAGAAAACCTATATCTATTTTTTTTATTTTTAAAGTAAAATATCTCGGTTATTTTGGACGTATTTGAAAAACGGTAAAGAGAAAATATCAAGAAAATATGATTCTTTTATTGAGATCTACCCTCGGATCTACCAGTTCTGAAAATATTTGCACTTATTTAAGACTCACCCTGTATATTGTCTAGTTCCGTATTTGAAAATTGGTATTTTAATTTATATGATTTGTTAAGTATCATTAAAGTAAAATTTTTGCATTAGAAGTGGTTTAGATTTACATGTTTATGCGATTCCAGCAAAACTATGTGTATTAAAGTCCAGTTCTATATACCATGTTATAATTTGAAAATTGCAACACGTTGCAAAATCGCTTTCTGGATGCACAATTTTGTTTCTTATATTTTTTATAAAATAATATCTGTATAAAATAAATCTGTATACTTTTATATAAGTGAACTTATATATTTTTAATATATTGCAAATATTTTAGATACTTAATTTAATCTTTTTTATGTTTAGTTTCACCGATCCTATGGAGATGACTACTATGATATTTTAGGAACGGTATGTTAAACAGCTTGGAATGCTGCTTTTGGTTGTACAAATGCACATACCTACCTGTAAATTAACACATATTAGTTATTGTAGAATTGCACAGAATTTTTTATTATTATAAACACCTAAAAATATACATATAGGAGAGACTAGCCTAAACCGTAGCTCTTTGCACAAAATCTAGACTGACTGGTTGTGGTTATTGTGAAATATATAGTTTGATCTCCAGACAAACGAAATCACTTACCAGAGGCCATCGAAATATTAGACCCAATTAGACCACATAGCCGGAGAGCTGGCGACATATGTGGCGTGAATCCAGAATCTTAAGTCGGGCTGGGGGTTTGTGGGTATTTTGCTACTGCGCAACCCCTTATATTTGCAAAAAAATAAATCCAAAAAATATCCTTTAGGCAACTTGAAATTTGTTTATTCTTAAATTTTAGCATCTATTTAATCCAGAGATAAGTATGCCAGACTTTTTTTTCGAGTTTAAAGAGTAACCCGACCATTCCAAATATGTTGAATTATTTACATCGAAAATATACTTTAGGCATTCTAAAATTTGTACAGCGTGTTTATTAGATAATATTAAAAAATATTTGTTAATTGCCAGACGAATTCAACGATTTTTAATATTTGCCTGACGCAAATAGAGATTTTAAATGAGCGCGACAAAAAAGTCTTATGAGTATTTATAAGCGCGAGAAAGATAGTTTATTGAGACTCGTCGGCAGCAGACTTGGCTGACGTAACAGTATTTTACACTGTTTATTTTTTACTTTCACACTGCCACTGTGTTTTACACAGTGTATCATCTGTTTCATTAAAGTCGAGTTTAAAAAAAAAAACAATATTTTCGACATAATTACAATATTAACATTCATAATCAATTATCTGATAATTTTAATTGTTACTTTAGAAATTATAGTCAAATTATTGATTCACAAAAAAAAATCAAATTTAAATCAATAGAAAACTAAAATTTAAACAGTTTTTATTTTAATTTTTTTGTTACAGTTAACTTTAAAAAAATGTGTCAATTGTGGCAAAAATGTATAATAAAAGTCTAACAAAACACAGAAGTCAGACGTAAGTAAGAGTTTTATATATTAGTTTTGTTGATGGTTAGGTTAGATTAGGTTAGGTTACGTCCCGTTAGCCGCCTCTCCTGCCGACGAGTCTCAATAAACTATCTTTCTCGCGCTTATATATACTCATAAGACTTTCTTATCGCCCTCATTTAAAATATTTATTCGCGTCAGGCAAGTATTAAAACCCGTTGAATTCGTCTGGCCAATTAATATAACACATATTTTTTAATATTATCTAATAAACACGCTGTAAGAAAATTAGAATGCCTAAGGTATATTTTCTAGGTATAATTATTAAACATATTTGCGATGGTCGGATTATATTTTAAACCCGAAAAAAAAGTCTGGCATGCTTATTTCTGAGTTAAATAGATGCTAAAATTTGAGAATAAACAAATTTCAAGTTGCCTAAAGGATGTTTTTTGGATTTATTTTTTTGCAAATGTCATGGGTTGCGCAGTAGCGAAATACCCGCAAGCCCTCTGCCCGTCTTAGGATTCTGGGTTCACCAGTTAATAAACTGTACATATTTAGTTATTCTAGTTTGCCTAAAATATGGTCTCTAAATATGTCGTCAGCTCTTAGGCTAACAGTTACAAATAATTTTTGATATTTTGATATGTATTACTTCTTCAGTCACTCGTGTTACTTGAAAAATATCTTAGGTAATACTGGACGTCTTGTATTAAATATACCACAATGTTTCTCGCTAATGCAGTTATAGAACCAGATATTGAAGAGGTACGGTATAGGCAGCTTTTTCTCTCTTTAAGTACCTATACTCTTTGTATATTAAAACTGTTAAAAGAAAATGTCGAAATCTATTCCGAAGGATGAAAAAACTGCATAACTTTTAATATAAACTTTTATAATTTTGATAATTTACATAAAAATACCAGTTAATGTTATATAATTTCGTAATTTTAGACGCTTTTGCATTCACTCGCCCAGAACCAAAGTCAGAAAAATTGCAATTTTATTATTAATTTTTGGCACATAGCAATTTATTTCATCCGCATAATAATTTTTAGTATTAAAAGGTTTTTTTTGCTATTGCATTGTTATGTTCTTTAATACGAATAGCGTAACAAAATATTATTGCTAAATAGCGTAAAATATTCGTATAGTACAATACTCCGAAAAATAGAATTACTGGTTTTTAGAAATTTCCCAATATTGTAGTATAATGTAAGAAATATCGAATATATACAAAAAATATTTTTTGGAATTATTAACATAATTTTTAACAAATGATTTTTTATTAATATTTAAAATATGATACCTATACGTTTGTTTAAGAATGTCGGGCAATGTATTAGATATTGGAATTAAAATTATTATGTGGAACTAACTTATTATAGTAAGTTTCTTAGTTACAGAACTGCAATGTTTCGGATTGCACTCTCCGTTATCAAGTGAGTAATACTAAATATAAATATTCTAAAATAAACAATTTATATAAATAGCTATACAATCGTTGTTCATTGATATTAGACAGTTAAGACTTGTAAACACGGCTAAAGACTTGTAAAGCCCGGTCCAGTCATACCATTCTACCTTTACCGACTTTTCGTCTACCATTTTACCGAGTTTTCGTCTTCAGCACAGTGTTGTTCTTTACCGTGTACGTATCTACACCCAAATACCATAATATATTTTGGGACTTGGGCCCGAATTCTGGAACTTCGACATAAAAACGTTACGCTTTCAAAGCGAAAGTATTTGATTAGAGGAACTCCAAGAAGTCGATTTTGGTATTCTGGTTGCCGTGCGAATCGTTTTCTGGATAAGCGTTGAGCACATTTTGGCAGCATCGCAATTTCTCAGGTTTACTAATAATCAAATGTGGATAAAGGTGAGTTTATATGCATCCGTAATGCGTCGTCCGTCGTTCCGTTAGTCCAATCATATTCAAGTATGAGCTGTCATTTTTGAAATAAACCAATAAAATTACATAAAATCAACGACTGACGACGCATTACGGATGCATGTAAACCCACACTAAAACGATGAAAAATGTCAATGTTACGTGAATTTCATAACCTACTGTTGAGTTATGTCAACCTATTTTTCTATGGATGTGTCATTATTCTTATTATACGAGGGAAATGTTGAAGACCCTTCTCAGAATTTTCGAAGTTATGAACAATACTTACCTATAGCTGCCAAGTTGTAAATTATCAATTACTTATTGAGGAATTTATAGAAGAAATATTTTTCGCTATAGAGCCAGAGAACGTACAAAGTCACAATTTTTTCTATTTTTACTGACAGTTCGACAAGCAAAACGATCCTTTAAGGTAGCCGTTTTCAAATCGCTTAGCGCAATGGGTAAAGACGCTAAGCGCGTCAGATGAGAATACCCAAACCGGTAGTTAAATGCGCGCTAAGCGAAAATTAACATCATATACGCTACGTTTTATACGCTCGATCTTATTTAAGTTCATTTTAAGGACTATTTTCTGGGACTGATCAATTTAGCTCCTTTAGCATGGTGGTTCACTTCTTGAATGTCGGTGCTCAGCAAGACTATATCATCTGCGAATCTAAGATGGCTAATCGATGTCTAGACCCATATTTTCTTATTTTAATAACCCATCTGGTAATAGTGCCTGGTGGCGTAGAGGCACAAACCAGATACAAAGTAAAGGTACAGCTCTCGTCTACCAATTTAAAGGTTGTGGGTTCGAATCCCGCAGCCGGCAGTTCATTAGCCGACTATTTTTAATAAAATAAAAATAGTTTGGGTACCTAGGTCGACTCAGCCTTAAATGAGTACTTGGGATTCACAATCCTGAGGTAATAATAGGCGGTTGAAGCGTAGTGCTAGCCACATTACCTTCCTTGTATACTGAACAGCTCTAGCATGGCAACCTGTACCTTGCTACTCTCAAGGCAAAGACTACACCCCAAGGCGTTAACGCTATATACGGGAGCTGTTATTATTATTAACAACGTATCCAAGATGGTACTCCATAGATGTTTAGACCTCTATTTTCCCATTCCATTTTCTTAAAGACATTTTTAAGTGCTGTAGTAAGTAACTTGGGAGAGATGGTATCTCCTTGTCTCACGCCCTTGCCATGTAGTATTTTTTCTGTTTTCAGGTCATCATCTAATCTTAAGAATAATATCTTTAATAATGAAATCGATTCTCGCATCCTCTATTGCTGTTAGAGGTTTTCAATTGCGGCCCAAGACTTTCTGGTAGTATACAAACACCAAATATGTAGGGGTATATGGTATTCAGTTATTTTTTCAATAATTGTTTTAATTGTTTGTAGATGATCGATGGTACTAAAGCCTTTTCGAAAGACTGTTTGTTCTATGGATTGATAGGAATCCAGTTTCGTAGTCAGTCGGATGTTGATAACCCTAGTAAAGAGTTTATGTCTCATAGAAGGCTTATTGGTCTATGGTTCTATATTTGTATAATCTCCTTTTATGTGCAACCTCCGCGTTTTTTCCATGCGTTCGGTATTCTACCCTATATCAGACACTTATTCAACAATACTCCCACGACATCATCGTAATGTTTTTCCGTCCATTTTCAACATTTCAGGTGTTATACGATCTTCTCCTAAGCTCTTGCCATTTTATATTTGTTGAAGTGCGTATTTAATTTCTGTGGTTAATATTTCTAGTTATAAGTAATAAGGTAAACAGCAATTAAGACGCCTCCCTAGTCGAGCGGATTGGCGAGTATTATCTCGGCCGCCTACTATGGTTACAGATTCCGTTTGCTTGCAGCTGCTCACTTTGAGTCAGATGGCTTACTGGCATGGGTGGCCCTACCAGTAGCTACGCTACCACTGGCATTGCTTCCTCGACCTTGAAAGTTACTGAGCTCTCCTACTACGACAAGGTGAAAGTCCCCGGAAGCGACTATTAGTAAGACCAGTTAGTAGTTCAGTT